TTTTGTATTAAATTGGTTTTTGACTATTTACTTTTGTAAAAAAAAAAAGAAAAAATTAAATAAACAGGACCAAACTTTTCTTTTTTTTTATATAATTTTTTTTTTTTAGTAATAAATTATTTTCTATTATTTTTTTCATATGAATATACCACATACATATATATATATATTAAAAAAATTTATAACAAAAAAATAACCAAAAAAATTAGCTTAACAAGAATTTTTTTTTTTTATTGTTGGGGAATGTAATTTTTCAATTTGTATTTTCCCCCTTTTTTCTCTCTCTTTTATTCCCTATTTGAAAAAAAAAAAAGTTAAAACAGTCTTTGTGATGTGTGTGTTTTAACAGTGTGGTTAAATTGATCTATTCCAATTTTTCTTTTGTTGTTGTTGGATGTTCTGTGAATTATATTTTAAAAAATAAATCACAGAATGACTACTCTGTGGAATAGAGATAAAGGACAATTAAACATCCAAAATTTGGAAGGAAAAAAAAAAATTTTTTTTTCTTCTTTGAAAAACCTTTTTTCAACTCTTTAGAAATTTATTATGTTTAAAAAAAAAAATTGTTTAAAATTTTTTAAATAAAAATTTCATTTTTATCGTTTTGTAATCTTTTAATTATTTGCTAATGATTTATTATTTTTTTTAAATGATTCTCTTTCCTTTTTATAAATATTTTTTTTATACTTTCTCCACTCAAATTGTTGTTTATTTAAAAAAAAAGCCCTATATGGGCTGTATTTGTAGAAAAGTTATATGTAAGCAATAGCTTTCATTTATATAATAGTTGTGCTTTTATTTTTCTCTTAATAATAGTCAATTGCCCCACCATAATGCTGAAGCCAATCCCGCAAATTTCACCCTTTATATATATATATATATATATATATAATTTTTTTTTCCTTAGCTGTTCTTTAAATGAAATATATTTTATTGTATGTGTATAAATTTTTATTTAATAATAATTAATCAAATTGCTGGAGATTTATATATATATGCTTATATTTCATATTAAAAAAAAAAATTATGATTTTTTTTTAAATAAAATAAAACGATAGAATTATTTGCATATGTATAAATATGTATATGTAGATAAATGTTTTTTTTTTTAATCCCTCTTTTTTTTTTTTTCATTTTTCCCCTTTTTTCCTCTTTAATGCTGCCAACTTTGTGTATGTTTTTTTAGGCTTTGTTTTTCAATTTTCTCTCTTTTTTTTTTTTTGAAACTCTGTTTTCTTCCCACCCCCATCAATTGATGTTATTAAAGACGTCTGATTATTCTTATTAATTAGTTTCATATTATGATGAAAATTCATTTATTTTTTACTTTTTTGTTTCAATTTTTGCTGTTTTTTTTTTCATGTTCTTCTTCCTTTTCTTTTCCCATTAACATTCCTCTTCTCTTAACAATGGTAAATATCCCTTTATCTATATCTATCTATCTTTTCCCCACATTATTAACTATCTTAATTATCGTTACTATTTGTTGTGTTTTTTCTTATATGCTCGCATTTACCATCTGCTTGACAATACTCTCTCTTTCCCCATCCCACCTTTTTTTTTTTTTTGTTTCTCTCGTGTAAATACAATTTTTAAGAAAGAAAAAAAAGCGCAGAACAATAGCTTTTTTTATTATTTACAAACAAAAATCCCCTTATCGCTGCTCTTTACTATTATTACTATTACATCCCTCGTATTTTTTTACTACAAGAAGCCACATTCTTCTTTAAAAAACTAATCAAATTTTTCATCCTTTTCCTCTTCCCCCTATGATCCCCCTCTCCCCCCATAACTATTATTAATAAAAAAAAAAAATTTTTGACACACACAAAAATAAAGGAAGAATCATTGTGTAATTTTTTAATAATATTGTAATGACAAGTTGATTGTTGATGATGTTTGGTAAAAGAAAAAAAAATTTTTTTTTTTCGATTCCTAATATTTTAACTTTTTTTTTTTTAAATCTCGTATTTGGGCTCTCTCTTTTTTTTTTTTTTTTCAATATCAAATCCTTCTTTTTGTTATGTTTGTTTGTTGGTTCAATTATTATTTTTTTCTTCCCTCTTTCTTTCATTCTCTTTAAATGTTTAGTTTTTAATTATTATTTTTATTTGTGAACTTTTTTTTTTTTTTTAGTGCCACTGTGTCTATATATATAATAATATTATTTATTAATTTAAAAAAATAAAAATGAAACAAATGTATAAATATATATATACATATTATATAAATAGTATATATACAAATTAATTTTTTTTTTCTTTTTATGTGATTTTTTTTTTTTTTTAGAAATAAATATCTCTAATGGCAAAAAAAAATGTAGAGAATCTGTCTTTTTTTTTTTATTATTATTTAAAGAAAAGAAAAAAATTAGTATTTTCTCTCTTTTTTTGTTTTAATTTAAAGAAAAAGTTTTTCCAAGTTCCTTGACTTCATTCGAAGTTCAATTTTTTTTTTTTTTTTATAGAACGATTTTTTTTTTAGACTTGTTTATTTTGAAAGAGAAAATTCCTGGAAAGCAATAATAAATAATTTGATGGTGTTAATATCACTGCTATATGTTCGTTCGTTCGTAGATACTCGTTTACACTCATGTCTATCAAAGGTGTAAAACTTCCCCCAAAATTTATAAATAGCTATTTTTATTTGAAAAATAGTACAAAAGTGAATTTGGATCAGGTAGATAAATTAAGAAAAAAAGGCATTTCCTGATGGTGTAACTGAAAGTTGCTGATGGCTTGTGCCATCTATCAGAATAAATATCAACAAATTGTTGATTTTTAATTATTCCAGAATTGGCTAAATATAAAGTCAATTCTGGAATAATTAAAAATTAACGAGAATAGTTGATATTTATTCTGATAGATGGCACAAGCCATCAGCAACTTTCAGTTGCACAATCAGGAAATGCCTATTTTCTTAAGTTATTTTTATGTTATTTTATAAGGCACAATTTGGATTATAGATTATAGACACAAGGTAATAACACCAAATACAAATAAATAAATAGTGTGTTTAACAAACTATTTATTTGGATTTGGTCTTATTATACCTTGTGTTTTATGTTCTTTAAAATAAAAGATAGTTTGGCCAGAAAATTGATTTTATTTTCTGCCTGAAGTGTATTTTCTTTTAAAGAACAATGAAAGCTGGCCAGGCAACCTTCAATATAATTTTTATGGCTATATGGGTTTCTTTCGATAAATAATATCTCTAAAGACCTCTCTTACTATTTGATTTTTATTTCTTACTATCCTTTGTACACATGGTGTTGTTGCTTATTCATTGTGGAAAAATTGGTCGTCGATGGTGAAGTTATCTGGGGGATGCTAAAGGTTGAAGACATCTTCTTTCTTATCTCCACTCAATCATATTAGGGTGTCAAGCTTGACAACCATCATGACTGGGTGAAGTAGAATGCATCTGCCTTTGTCATTAAGACTGGGAGCACTACTCAGTGGCAAGCCGACTTAGCTCCAAGAGAAATGGCCGCCTCTGACATGAGGAACAGACTCCATGTGCAACCGCTCCTAACATGGAGTACAAATGCTGCTCATCCTGTATCCTTGGATTAAGAGCCCTTACAGGGTACTATCAGCCGGGCCAGCTGAGCCCAGGTTTTTTAGTGAGCTTGTTACTGCTCCCCCTCTTTCTTTTTCATCCGGGCTTGGGACCGGCAAAGGCAGAGTTTAGGTTGAAGACATTAAGGTGCTAGTTTCCGAGTAGAACTTTGATTTCCTGGATTTCCAGAGGGCTTGGTGGTGGATTAGAGAAGTGGATTTTACAATATGACAAATTTCTTATTAGGAAGGTGAGACCACCTCCCTTTTGGTTGGGGCGGTCTTTTCTAAGGATATGAGTTTCAGTTTATGTGAAGTGTCTTTAGTCTCTTGTAAGGCAATGATCCCTAGTACACATGGTACAGGCTATGATAATCATGGTGGGTAGAAGTTGGCCACTGCTTTTACTTTTAAGTGCACCACATGTGAAAAGCAGTTTGATTCTTGCACTTACAAATTATGCCAGAGCTTCATTTGGTTACTTGCCCTTTGCTGGTGGGGCTCGAATATTGCAAGGAGGTCATTAGAGTATTTAAAAAATATAGAAATGGGATTTGATTCAGGGTTGTTGCGATTGAAACTCACTCGTCCAACGACCCTCTTTACTATTTGATAATATTTATCAGTGAGCTGTCTATGTGTAGAGATATTACTTGATAATATATATATTCTAAGAAAAATATTGCCAAAAAAATAATTATTTCCAATTTTTATATCAATAGATGGCAATGAAATTTATAAAACCTCTCAAGTTATCTTTTTTTTTTTTGGTTTCTATATTCTCCAAGTTATGGTATAAGCCAATGTTATTCATGGTTGAAAACTGATTTGTTGTAAGTGTTTGTGCTCCTTTTTATTTGCATAACATGTCTACATATTTAAAGGTTCTTAGAAATCATGTATAGGGACACTCTTAGATTATCTGTACCAAATATATAAATAATGCTAAAACTTTTCCTTCACTTTTTACTATCTTTCTGAATTTTCTTGATATATTTTCAAGAACGCCTTCAATAATTTGAAATACTTTTTTTTAATGAAAGGTAACATGTAAAACGAAAATTGAAATTATACCGCGAATGTTTCTTTTATAAAAATCGTAATTTATTTTCAAAGAGAAATGGCGACATTTCTAACTTTTAAGGATGAAGTATGGAAAGGTGAAAATGAAGAGTAATGGCGAACGGAAAAATAAAAAGTGTCCAGGGGCGGGAATCGAACCCACACCCTTCTGCTTACCGGGCAGGTGCCTTGTCCACTCGGCTACCCTGGACGTATTTTTCCGTTCGTAACTAATACTTAAAGTAACATTTAAAATACAATATAACGCGGCTGATGATTGTAAAATGAAAATTGAAATTATACCGCGAATGTTTCTTTTATAAAAATCGTAATTTATTTTCAAAGAGAAATGGCGACATTTCTAACTTTTAAGGATGAAGTATGGAAAAGTGGACAAGGCACCTGCCCGGTAAGCAGAAGGGTGTGGGTTCGATTCCCGCCCCTGGACACTTTTTATTTTTCCGTTCGACATTACTCTTCATTTTCACCTTTCCATACTTCATCCTTAAAAGTTAGAAATGTTGCCATTTCTCTTTGAAAATAAATTACGATTTTTATAAAAGAAACATTCGCGGTATAATTTCAATTTTCGTTTTACAATCATCAGCCGCGTTAAATTGTATTTTAAAGGTAACATGTGTATCTTTTTGTAATGTTTTCAAAAATTATCATTTGATAAAGGATATTTTATGAAAACTTAAAAGTTTTAGCATTAGTTTTTCAAATTTCAAGTTTTCTCTTTTTTTTTTTTTTTTCTACTCCTATAGAGGTATAGTTTCACAAGTATTCTGATATTTTCAATCAAAAACTTCCCAATATTGAAAAAAAGAATTTTGTTGATCATCTTGACTTCTTCTATCTTTATACTCTTGAGTAAGACAAAATTTCCAGGATGTGAATCGACCAAACACAAGTTTATAAACAAATTGTTTTTTTAAGAGATGAGTTCAAGACAATAAAGAAAACGCCATTTGTGAAGATGTATACGGAAGAGACATTTTTCTCTATTTCTATGTATTCTGTGTATGGTGATCTTCAATTGATCAAATTGGTGACTCTTTTTATCCATATAGTCGCTAAAAGTTAAACTTGATAGACACCAAAAAACATTTGGTGTGGAATTAATACCTACCCACATATTCTCATGCCCAGCAATAGCAGCAGCCTTGCAGAAAATTGACATGGACCCAGAACAGCAGCTTCACACACCCAAGATAGAGAACTTTGCGACTGCTGTAATAGAAATGCAAGGAGACATCTGAGACTCTTCATTGGATGCAACAACAATACAATATACACCCCCAAGATAAGAGAACATTGCGACTGCTGTTTTTTTTTTGCTTATCCCTAGTACACGTGGTACAGGCCATGATAATCATGGTGGGTAGTTAGCGACTGCTTTTTTACTATAAGCGCACCACATGTCTACACATGTGAAAGCAGTTCGACTTTGCACTTACAAATGTGCCAGAGCCCCGTTTGGTTACTTGCACTCGCTGGTGGGGTTGGACTTTTGCAAGAATCGGGGGGCCATTGGGGCATTTTTTTTTCTTTAAACAGAAAAAAGTGTCCAATGCGGGGATCGAACCCGGGTCGTAGTGGTCGTAAACCAAACGGTTTAACCAGCCTTCCACCGACCCCGACTGCTGTGATAGAGATGTATGGAGACATCAATAACTCCTTATTGGGCATGACAACAAGAACCAAAAAACATTCTGCTTATAACTTTGTAAAAAGTTTTATGGCGAGTTTTCATTTTGGATAAGCTGTCAAGGAGCTCTGTCCAAAAAATTAACATGCACAATTACAAAATGACATACATCACATAACCTCTTTCTAGAAAGAGAATTGATCACTTTCTCACAAAGAACTTTAGGCTTGAAACACAAGTGCAGTATAACCTCTGTTTAAAAGACAATACATAGATGCAGAGCCAAAACCTCCTTTAGAAAGTGATTCTCTTACTGTAGAGCAACAATTAATAAAAATAGTAATTTTTTTGGTGATAAAATATCCTTTGCATAGAGAGGTTTCTTCTCATGGAGGTTCTACTGTAATTGGTTCATGGATCTAATGGTATTATTGGGTTCTTCATGGGTTGTTTTCTTAAGAGGATTCATATATAAAACTCTCCAGCACTTTTTTATTTTCCATTAATTAATGTGAGGTCAGACATTTTAAAAAATTACAACATGGCAATTGTATATTTTAAAAATGTCATTATGTGAGTTTATGCTTGGATCCTGGCTGCTTAAGTTTTATACTATTTTATTCTTTTTTTGTTTAGATAATGGAATTTGAATATGTTGGGACACCTCGTGACCATAATATGCCAAAGTAACCCAGAACCCCACCTAACCTAACCATATCCCACCTATGTCCATCTAAGCCACAAACCTCTGGTGATTGCGAGGTGTCGAGATGGAGCCTGAAGCCACCTTTAGCCTTGGCAGCACTAAGCCAGAGACCAGAGATCCCCTTCCTGGTGGTCAAGTCACCTGACCTGTGGTGGATGACCTGGCCCCACCAACACCAGGATAGTCCAAGATGGACTCAGACACCCCTCCCTGGTGATCAAGTCACCTGACCTGTGGTGGATGACCTGGCCCCACCAACACCAGGATAGTCCAAGATGGACTCAGACACCCCTCCCTGGTGATCAAGTCACCTGACCTGTGGTGGATGACCTGGCCCCACCAACACCAGGATAGTCCAAGATGGACTCAGACACCCCTTCCTGGTGGTCAAGACACCTGACCTATGGTGGATGACCTGGCCTCACCAACACCAAGCTAGCCTGAGATGGACTCAGACACCCCTTCCTGTTGGTCGAGCCACATGTCCGATGGTGGCCGACTTGACCACAAGCCAGTCCAAGATGGACCCAGACGCCCCTTCTTTGTAGTCAAGCCACCGACCTATGGTGCTTGACCTGACTCCACCACGAGCCCTGAACCTTTCCCAAGCTGACCCCAAGATGCCCAGAATCAACAATAATAATAATATTTTTTAAAATCATTTTTTTTAATTCAATATTTTCATAATTTTTATTATTATTTTTTTGTGAATATATCTTTAATAATTTTATATTTAATTTATTTTTATCATTTTTTAAAGATGCCTTTTTAATTTTTTATTTTCATAGAAAAAGAAGTGATGATAGCCTTGGGGGGTGAGTTCAGCAACACTGGGACAAGGAAGCGGGATATTTACATTCTTGAAGATTGACATTTTTGATATTGACATTCGGATTTTTACATTTCTTTTTATTAACAAAAACTAGATTTTTTTTTCCGAGAAGCAAAAAAGACTTGGAGTTGCGGAGGGCGGAGGCCGCTGGCTGCGGCCTTTGCTGCCCCTTTTCGAATCGTGGACATGGGTGGCTGGGATGAAGAGGTAGGTCGGGGATAATGGGACTTTGGCACGATAGGCCCTTTCTTTTTTTTTCTTTTGTATAAAGTTTAAAACTCCTCCCTTTTAACATTATCTACAGTTTTTTATATATATATATATTTTTTAATCTTATATATGTGCGTGATCTCATTAATTAATATAATAAAAAAATGTTGTACATTGAAAGATTTTATTAGTCTTAATAAAAATTTGTCTAACCAAAAAGATTGATTGGTTAATTTCCCCATCAACATAACTGCTAGCCGGCACAGCTTTAGGTCTCTACATGTGCCATAGATGAATTAAATTTGTGGTCTGCTTTTCTGCAGCCACTGGCGCCCTAATATTTGGACATGTAGAGATCTGGAAATAGTAAAAGTATAAAATCATCATTGTTTTTAACAATGAGTTTCTTCTTCCATTATACCTAAAAATATATGTAAATGCTCTCGATTCCTTCATCGTTAACAAATATATTCCACTGACACACATTACCTTATTTAACCTATACAAAAAACAAGGAATATTTATTAGTAGTATTTATTGTTATCCTATGTATAGATGGAAATTTTTGCTGTAAGGAAATTGATCTATAAAAGAATTGGGTGCCTCTCCCTTCAAAATAAAAGTCAAAATTAGACGCATCGTCGTCGCAAAATCCAGAAGACCTCTGGAACCAAATTTTTGGTCTTAGAGCTACAGTCTGCACCAAGCTAACGCGGACCAACAGCCCAAAATGCGTACGTGGTTGATTTATCAAGAAATTGGGTGGGTCAGATATCAAGGTGCAAGCTAAATCTACGTTTAGTTGATTTTTTGCGAGCTGTCAGGATATGCCTTTTCTTTTTCATCTATATATATTTGATATATGCGCCATCTATAGCAACTTTCAGTTGCCCGATAAGGAGACTTTCTTTTTTAATTTATGAACCTTAAACAAGTAAAATATCGCATTTGTGCTATTTAAATATATTTTAAAAGAGAAAAGTATAGCCATATAAAAATGTATTTATATTAATAATAAAAGAGAGATATCCTGACCACGCTCACATGAGTATTTCTGGCAGAGCGCTATCTAGTGGAACAAAAATAAACTGACCTTTTTATATTTTTTATTATTTTTTTTTTTTCACATGAAAAGCGTATTTACGCAAACTTGGCCTTAAATACACATTTCTTGATTTCTCAGGAAGCCTCTGGGACCAAATTTTGGTAGTAGAGGTACAGTCTGCACCACGCTGACGAGGGCCAACAGCCCGAAACACATTCATGGTTGACTTTTCTTGATTTATCAAGATATTGGGTTGGCTAAATATCACCGAACAAGAATAAACGTTTATTTTTGTCCACTAGATGGCGCTATGGAATCTAGAATTGCCTATGTGAGCCTGGTCAGGATATGCCTCTTTTATTTTTAATATCAACAACTGCCCTTTTTTATATTTTATTTTTTATTGTTTTTCACATATGTCCATAGTTTGTTTGAAAACCATTTCTAAGATTAAACCCTTCTTTGCAGCATATTTAGGCATTTAGTATAAGTATTAAAGCTTTAAAAAAGCGGTCTGGAAGATTAAATTGGCGAAACCGCTGGGAGGGTTCACCACTGATGAGCCAAACTCTTCCGATTTAATATTTAAAAATAAACATTGGTGCTTTAATGCTTCCATTTATTTATATATATATGCACAAGGAATCCACCCATGTGTCAAAGTCAAGGCTTCCCTACAAGAAGACGAAATCCCTATTCTCGATACTACACTGAAGCCGCTCTTCACGCAACAAGAATGGTTTGTCTAAAGAAAATTGTTTCAACAAAGGTTTATTCAACCAGTATTATTATCATTTCTTCCCTCTTAAAAAAAATTGTCTTAATTTTGATAATTTGCGAATTTATGTCTATTTCAGGATAAAAAAATGACTTACTCTCATATTTGACTTCTATATAGGGTTAATTCAATTATAATAAATATTAAAGTGAACAACTTGATAACTTTATCAATAAATATGAAAACATATTTTATATAAAGTAATATCCATATAATTTTAAGATATCTTAGAAAG